AAATCTTCAAAACCTTATGGAAAATTCAAATTCAAAATATATATGTACTGTTGTCAACAGTATTACCAAATTTTGTATTACAAATCGCAATGCTAAAACTCTAATACCAAACTACTTCCATAGAATTTCTGCACAAGCTTGTTCAAATTTTTCTTTCCAAATTTCCCCCAAAAGTCAGACCAACCAGCCACTTGCTATGTCTCCACAGGAAACACATTTTCATCCCGCCCACATGCACGATGAACATGATGAACATTATTTGCTGGGGTAAAATCAGGGGCAAGCATTCCAATGTTGTACAATCTCATCCACTTTTTTTCCCAGACAAGCCCTTGAGGCTGCTGTGTACGGTATGCCTGCCAGCCTGGTGAGCCTGTCCTTGAGAAGAAATGGGTCAAATTATAGAGCCATAAAAAAACATAGACACACATCTCTAGTCAAATCAAAACTAGATTTGTTATTAAAGTGGTGCTGTCTTCCATACTCCCTAGTGGTACTGTCATTCCCAGTGGTACTTGTTCACCTTGATCGCTGTATGGCAAGGTTTGGACTGTTGGACCACGTCCAGTAATTTCAGTGCTTGTATTTTGTGCTTCGGATTTGGTCAGATTTTGAAAATTCTGCAATTTACTGAAAGGGTAAATTATGTGAATGACTCTTACAGTTTAAAATGTGATAAAGTTGTGTTGTTGGTTATTATTATTTTTTTTAAGTTTCAAATGTGTCCACTCTAGGGCAATCACACATTGTAATGAAACAACATTTGTATGCATGTTTCTAAAGCCAAATTCCATTTCAAAATGGAAATTCCCTTAATTCCATATATTTTGGTATTGCCCTTAAAAGACATACATTTGTGTTGTGTTGTAGGCCTGCATTTTTCAAAAGCACTGTATTATATTCTCCACGTACACAGTGCTGTTCGAGAGCTTGCAAGAAAAAACAAGTCAGGTGTGTTTAAAAACACAAATGCCCCGCAACCGTGACTGTTCCCATGACATAACACCACTCTTTTAACATCAACTTACATGTACCTTGGTCACATGGAACGTTCATTAATTGACAGCATTAGTGTCTTCTGTAGGTTTTATATGAATTAATCCCTAATCCCTATGATCTCAGAATAAATACAAGATTTCTATTGTTTTAGCCACTGTGACCTTGACCCTTGACCTTTCAGCCCCAAATGCAATAGGCTTCTTAGGACTGCCAAGGACAATCCACAAACCAAATTTGAAGTTCATATGTAAAGTACATCTCAAGTTATCACGCTGACAAAATTTCTATTGTTTCAGCCACTGTGACCTTGACCCTTGACCTTTCGGCCCCAAATGCAATAGGCTTCTTAGGATTACCAAGAACAACACACAAACCAAATTTGAAGTTCATATGTAAAGTATTTCTCAAGTTATCGCGCTGACAAAATTTCTTTTGTTTTAGCCACTGTGAACTTGACCCTTGACCTTTTGGTCCCAAATGCAATAGGCTTCTTAGGATTACCAAGAACAATCCACAAACCAAATTTGAAGTTCATATGTTAAGTATTTCTCAAGTTATCGCGCTGACAAGATTTCTATTGTTTTAGCCACTGTGAACTTGACCCTTGACCTTTCGGCCCCAAATGCAATAGGCTTCTTAGGATTACCAAGAACAATCCACAAACCAAATTTGAAGTTCATATGTTAAGTATTTCTCAAGTTATCGCGCTGACACGATTTATCCGGACACACACACCCACCCACCCACACACCCACCCACCCACCCACCCACGGAAGGACAAGGCGGAAACAGTATGCCCCTTCGGCTTCGCCGCGGGGCATAAAAATTACAAGCTTACTACATGTACATGTGTATGTACGGTAAGTCACTCGGGTGGGACTCGAACCCACAACCTCCTGTTTACCAGTGCAGTTGTCATACCACTCATCCAATGAGCCCCCATTATTCTATAATTTTTTGAAGCAGCACACATTTTTGGGCTTACAGTCCCAAAATGGATAACAGCTACAGTACCTGTACATACTGCACATGGATGCATACTGTATGCATCCCTTTTTAGCAACAGTTTCAATTTCACACACTAGCACTTGTCCCAGGCATGCAACTGGGAAGTCACAAAAAAAAGAGGAAATTCAAATCTTTCCAAGACTTTGTACAGTGTTTTTCTATTTTCAATGGCACACATTGGAAGTGAAACAAGAGGAAATCAGCTGATCCGAGGAAAAGTTGCATGCCTGTGGTCCTGGTAGTTGTCATAAAAGTGAGGAAATTGGCACAAAACCAGATTGTTGTGACAAAGCAGACCTTGATTGCACAACTGGTGATGTACCGGTACAAGTCACATCTGCCTCATTGCAAACAACTACCGGTACACGAAGGACAAAAAAAAAATGATGAAGTAGAAAAAAATGATGCAGGGAAGACAGTATCGCACGAGCATCACATCATCCGTCACCGGTGCCCGTTTCCTCGCCTTCCCTTGAGGCTCGACAAAATAACTGGCCTGGAGAACTCACTCATCAGGCTTCGTTACCAGTTAGTGCGAGACCTGAGGATGGGACACTATCTCCCAGAGCCGGCAGGCATCAACCCGCTGAGATAGAACCGTGGCTTGGTGTAAGACACTATAAGGTGATGATGTTACATGTATACTGGTCATAATACTATCATCTCCTCCGCTAATGACGGCCTGAAAGATGTGTCGTGATCAGATAAACATGTGTCTTTACCGGACTCACACTGCGCGTGTCCTATGAGTATGATGTGCCATGAAGTGTGTGGCTAAAAGGTTTATTGTTAAAAGTTAGAGAGGTTCCCATGTGCAACTTTGATTTTCCATGTTGTGTTGACAATCCAGACTCATTCTAATCTAATTGAGTGCAGCATAATTGTCAGATGACATGCTTCATCGATGCAATAGCCTCGACAATCAAAATTCTGATTACTTGCTTGTAAACAACACCTGCTAAAAGATTTTCAGTTTAGGCTGAGTAAAAATAATAAATAGTTTCTCGTCTGACCTTTTTGAAAAAATGAAGAATGTTGGCATTTGTTCTTCTTGCCCCCCCCCTCCACAAGATGACAGATTTTCCAAGATTGCAGATGGATTCTTCAATTTTTTGCGACTATTTTGCCGATACAAAATTGTGTCCTAAAACAAGCCAAATTTTAACCCTTTCTACATGTACATACAATCTGGTTGAAAACAAACAAAACGACAATATCGACAATGTGCAATGAAATAAAAAAAAATGTAAAAAAAAAAATATTTTAAAAAGGATGCGGCCAGGAAAAAAGGAAGCGGGTAGGGACGAGACTGAGTTATTTTTGCACTTGACCTTTATTAAAGGCCTCAAAAAAGGACAGGATTTTAAACCAAAGGGCAAAACAACCAAACCTGCAGTCACTTCAACATTTTATTTAACTTAGCCAAACTATGACAGCAACAAATGTGAGTGGCTTACTATCACTGTATCAACACATCAAGAAATTACAAAGATAAACTCGACATTAACAAACTACACACTGTCACAGGTGTAAACCAATTATTAATTTTTACACAGTGTATACATATTGTATACACTGTATACATATTGTATACACTGTATACATATTGTATACACTGTACCAGCATTTATTTCCAAACACACAGTCCTATTTGGAAAGGCCCTTGATAGTGAATGCAAGTTGATGGACCAAGGCAAACTCTTTTTATTGATTCTTCCTTGAAATGGAAATGACGCTTTTAAGCTGTAGGCAAACACAGACAGCGCGAAGGCCACACAAGCGCACTGTATACAAAAACATGTGCAGTGTAGCGAATGTGGGGCTTTTTTTATTTTTAGGGTTGACAGTTCATTAAGATGTACTGGTAGTGCAGATAGTGAACGTGGGGCTTTTTTTATTTTTAGGGTTGACAGTACATTAAATGTACTGGTAGTAAATCTTGGGGTTTTTTTGGCGTCTCGGTCAAGTCAGCAACAGGCATGCGCTAAAACTTATCTTGTGAACCAATAAGTGTCACCTGATTCGGAAAAAGTTCATTTATCTAATTCCATGGCAATCAGTGTGGTTTTGCTACGTTGTTCTGCGCTAAATCGGTGGTCTGAATGTTGCAGGTTGCGGGTTCGAATCCTGGCGGAATTTTACATTTTTATTTTCTTTCCCCCCAAAAAAGATGTTTAGTCAAGTTCTGATGATCAATAAAATATTTCACCCTTTTCTTCTTCTTTTTTTTTTTAAGGGAAGTTATGTCTGAGAACCATTACCTACTGACGCATGCGCATTATGGTCATTGACTATTGTTAGAGATATATTTTTTATCAAATTTCTCCATTCCCACTATCATTTGTAATTTCAAACTTCAAACAGTGCTCTGTGAACCAGCCTACGTTTATGTATCTCTTGAATCCAACCTGCAGACCAAACCGAGGTTTCACAAACCTCCGTTCCTTTAACTGTAATTTTTCCCATTCTCGTGATTTGTTTTCCATTTTAACCTCTACTGTATCTCTTGAATGTGATGCTGTAGGCCAAGCCAGGATTTCGCAAACCTCCCCCCATGCTTACCATAACATTTCCATAGTCATATCAGCTTGCCATTTCAACCTTCAAACAGCACTACGTCAACCAGACTACTCTTGAATCCAAAGCTGTGGACCAAACCAAGGTTTCACAAACCTCTGTTCCTCTTTACCATAAAATGTCCACATTCCCACTATTCATGAGCCATCTCAACCTTCAAACAGCACACCGTCAACCAGACTACTCTTGAATCCAAAGCTGTGGACCAAACCAAGGTTTCACAAACCTCTGTTCCTCTTTACCATAAAATGTCCACATTCCCACTATTCATGAGCCATTGCAACCTTCAAACAGCGCTCTCCGTGAACCAGTCTACTATTCACCACGCATCCATCCCCGCAGCTCGGAATCCTCCATTCATTACGAGCACAAAAACCTGATCCCAGTCGGAGCAGCATGGGGTAGCAGTGACTTACCTTTCAGATACTCGGTCCCATCGACATGGGGTACAGCGTGGCGTCGAAGTGGGAGATCTGTAAAAGCGGCCCAGGCACTGGGGCTGCTGGTATTATATCCACAAAAGGCAACAGCGAGGCGGATCAGATCTGTATTATGGAAAGGAGAAAATGCGAACAAAGACTTCCATGAGTTTAAAGGGAATAAACATCATTTGCTTTTGCAGTAATTTTCAGAAATGGATGGAATTGGGGGGTTGGAAATATATAGCAAATATAGTTACACTGACTTTTTTGAGGTTTTGGGTTCGAAAATGCTATAAAAACCAAGAAAAACAATCATTTTCCTGTAGTCTGGTTCCCTGACTCCATATAAGAAGAAACAGAGCAGTTTATATACATTGGAGAATTGTAAGGTCAGGGAACCAGTCTAGCTGGCTTGTACCCATTCATACATGTAGGTGTGTAATCGATTGCAAACAAGTGCGATGGTCAATTGGGGCCAGTATTTGAAAAAAGCCAGTTTTTTCCAACGCTGATCGGCCGATCAGCGTTGGAAATTGATACAAAAATACCACTTTTCTTGAAAATGACAGTATACCAGGTGCCATGATTTTACAGGATGCTTTACACTGTCATTCACTAACAGTCCAGCAAGGTATTTCAAAATGATTTGGTAGTTTTATTTTTTGATGTTTGCAAATGTTGTATTTTCCCTTTAATGCACAAGAAAAATTATCTAAATGGGTGCACATGCATTCACATCATCGTGTACATTGTACATGAACACATGTACATGTACGTACATGTACACGTACATGTATGCATGTACATAAAAAGCCGGTTGTATGAAACACGCGCAGGTCACTGACACCCCCTGTTTGTTCAGTAAATATTAATTCCCCGGCCCTTTGGGCGAAATTGTAGCTCAACTTATTAACACCAAAAATACTTGCAGAAACCACGTTTTCCTGCCCAAGAAAAACAAAAGTGAGATGCATTTTTGCTCAAGTGCCGAGGACTGGAGCAACCGATATCACCGACCAGTCTCAAGTTTGGAGCAGAGACGGGAATGATTTCGCTCAAGGATTAGAAAGGGATATTCTTATTTATGGGGAAAAAAATCCTTCTGTGATATTTAAAAAAGGCTTGTGATTCGAGATCAAATAATTTTTTTTTTTTGGTGTGGCTTAATTTAATAACCCCCTAGGCCCTTGTTGCTTACAACCATCCTCAATCCTCCAAAATCCTCCAAAATTTTTCAACTCCGCCTAAATTTTTCAAAATTGTCAGACAGTCCTGCCTCAAAATGCATTCATCCTCAATCCTCCAAAATCCTCCTCATCCCAAAACTTTGCACTCGTGTTTAAATGAAGGATAACCAACACCAAATCCTTCAAAATCATCAGACAGTCCTGCCTCAAAATGCATTCATCCTCAATCCTCCAAAATCCTCTTGTGCTTCATTCACCATTCATCCTCAATCCTCCAAAATCCTCATGTGCTTCAATCACCATTCATCCTCAATCCTCCAGAATCCTCATTTGATTCAATCACCATTCATCCTCAATCCTCTAGAATCCTCCAAAACCGCCAGGAGGATTTTGGAGGAGTGAGGTGGGTTAGGGTTAAGGTTTGGACATTCTTGTTAATAAGGCTCAAGTTTACTCCAGATAATCCTCTAGCACTTTTGACTCGGCCCTACGAAAAATGTATTTTTCAAGAATAAAATTAACATTTTTTGGCGTAAGTTTTGAAACTGCCGAACCAGCCTTCATTAATTCAAATTGTCTACAGATACCAAATGGCGCTCATCACAGAACATTAAAATTAAAAAAAAAAAAAAATGTATTCATGATTTAAACATTGTCTTCAGATACCCGGTAATAAATAATGCTCATCACAGAACATTTAAAAAAAAATATTCAATCATGAAGATAATGTTTTCAGTTTTGATCTGAAATCTGAACCCTTAGACTGACGGCATATTTTTCACCGGAGACTCGACAAACCACATTGTCAAACCCCTGTTTCCCATAAATTGCAGAAAAGATATATGCAAGACCTCTGACAAACATACTCATACCCACTCCCCTACCCCCGGGGAATAATGATCCATGGTTCAGGCTCGGAATTATCTGACGACAGGTGATGTTACTGGATATGTCTACTGCCGCCGGAAAAAAAAAACGCTCTGCAAATTTTCTGTGTGGCTGGCGGCATGAACATGTGACAGTACATGTCCATGCACAGCACGTACCTTGTACATGTACAAATAACATGTATGCATACATGTACATGTACAAACATGAATATGAACATGTGACAGTACATGTCCATGCACAGCACGTACCTTGTACATGTACAAATAACATGTATGCATACATGTACATGTACAAACATGAATATGAACATGTGACAGTACATGTCCATGCACAGCACGTACCTTGTACATGTACATGTATGCATACATGTACATGTACAAACATGAATATGAACATGTGACAGTACATGTCCATGCACAGCACGTACCTTGTACATGTACAAATAACATGTATGCATACATGTACATACATAACATGAATATGAACATGTGACAGTACATGTCCATGCACAGCACGTACCTTGTACAATGTACATGTATGCATACATGTACATGTACAAACATGAATATGAACATGTGACAGTACATGTATGTATATGTCCATGCACAGCACGTACCTTGTACATGTACATATGTATGCATACATGTACGTACATGTACCGGTACACAGACCAACAAAGCATGCATGCCAAGGCTGTTTAATTAATACATGTAAATGTGCTTACATGTACATGTACATGTACTTTATGTACACATGTATACTTGTACATGTACATTTGTAAACAATATTGATGATATATTTTTATCAAGTCTCCAAATTATGAAAATTTATACAATCTGGCACCAAGACTCCCCTGGGTGCTTCAATTGCTGTCTACACTCACTTCTCCTCAGGGAGCCAGGCTCTTGCAGTAATGACTAAGTGGTCGGATGGCCGAAGGTGCTAAAATTCACTGCATTTATGTAAGCAACAATCATTGCCATGTGGGTATACCGTACACTGACAGATTTTTTTTTTGCAAACTCCCAAAGGATTCTACCGTACGTGCTCAAAACACCTGCGATTTCAACACATTAGTGGATGTCTTTCAATTTGTATTTTCTTTGGCTCATGAATAATGCATGAATGCGACGGTGACTCATTGATGAATAATTCATGAGCCCTTTCATAGTAACAAAAATGTCTGCACTTCAGAAGATTTCTCAGAAGAACTGTACACTACCCCGGTGGATGACATTCATTATATGGTATTAAAGCTACAGTCCATCATTTGTAATTTGTGCATTTTGTTCGTTTGAAGCAACAAAAGAGTTCAAAATCTAATGAAGGATACTGAGCAACTAACCTGATGAAGTTTCAGCTAAGCTTCAGCTGTACATTCCGAGAAAAACAGCATTCTAAGATCTCAATTTCAAATCCAAAGTTACTGAATCATGTTTTGAATTGTTTTGAATTGCAGCTATACGCGACGACACGCACTGATCTGACGAATTATAACAACCGCGCGCGCGTGTGCGTCGTTCCAATACTTGTGCGCGCTGTGCTGAATAACAAAACGAACTACTAATTTAAATTTTCCTACGGTGCTTCTTAAGAATCACCATTGGAAATGCCTTCTTTCGTTGATTACTTCAAAATGACAGCTTGCCAGAAAGAGTAATTTCACAGGGAGTTTAGTCCCCTTACTATCTTTCAACCAAGTTTGTTTTTCAACAATAATTACGCCAGTTACTTTTCGGATGGCTGCAAATGATGGACTATACCTTTAAACATCAACAGGTTTTCACATCATGAATAAATTATGCAAGATTTTGACTCATGATTAACAAAAAAAAGTTACCAACAGCAGAAATGCCAAACCTCAGTGAAAAACAAGGATGCGCAGTTCAGTTTGCCGTCGCAAAACGGCTCCCTCTATTGTCCAACTCCAAACCATTACCATTGTGAATGTCACAATGGGCATTTAAAACCCCCCCACAGGACCACGGGCTAAGGCACGGCTCGGTAAACAAAAGCGGGGTACCGATGAAGTCTGGCACACACACTCACACATACGCACCATTGTTCAAATACAGCAGCGTGGCATTCTGTTTGTTCCGCCCTATCTGGTTCCAGAGTTCTGCTTGTGACGCATGGGTTCTTTTTTTTCTTTTCTCTTTATTTTTAAATATAGTCCACTTGTACTGAATTGGTCTGGGCAGGGAAAGAAAAATTCCAACTATGCACATTCCAGCACGTCTGGCGTATTAAATTTGATAATATTCAATCGCATTTTTCAAATGTTATTTTGTGTTTACTGCAAATTATGAGAATCAAAACAATCAGCGTGGATGAGGCACGAGTTAGGAATTCCCACTTTTTGTTTAGAAGGGGATATTTTTGGGAAACAGAACGCACCGAAGAGTACTGAGTGGAACAGATCACTGGAATGTGATGAGGAATGGGAAAAAAATGAATGTCACAAGTTTGATATTAATTTTAAGCTGATTCAATATTTTGTTAATGAATGACGGCAAATTGGTTCATTATAATCAATAGACAGCACATCTGCTAATTCACGGAAAATGACAATGTGTCGATAACATGATGTAAGAAGGCATAGTAAAGTACATGTACCAACCGGTAGGCCTACGGTATGAACTTTCAATCACATGAAATTGTTTAAAAATTTACCAAAATCAATCAATTCAAAATAAACAAAAATGTATACATTTTTTTTTTTTGGAACAGCATATTCAGTGTACAATAGACACTAAGACCCATAATTTGGGTAAATAGTTTAAAAAATAACAAACCACAGCGCGTTCGTACCAGTATGTAAATAGGTACGGTAGAACATGTAAGGGAACGACTTCCATATAAGAAATTCACTCAACATCCTGTGTACAAACCCTATGAGATTGGACTGAAAAATTCTCAGTGTTTTCTAAGAAAATGCTTGTATTTTCTCACTGCTCAAATTGACTTTGATGACATGAAATTGCTATGTGGGGGCTTGTTAGTCAATACAGAGGAAAATTAGTGAACTTCTTATATGGAAATCTT